TGACAGCTTGATTAGAATGTGATAATTTAACTCTTTGTTGTTCAATGGATCAAAACACTTTAAACCACTGAATGTTTTCAGTCCAGTGGCTAAACTACCCCCCCCCCCTACTGTTTCACCACTTACCTCTCTTTCTTTAGCTCATTACTCATTATTATTATTATTATTATTATTATTATTATTATTATTATTATTATTGTTGTTATCGTTATTCTTATCATTTCTTGTCTCAGTGATGAACTAGACTTTGATGCTCTTTATCAGATCCAGGATCATGTTTCCTCCTCTTCCTCACTGTCTCCCTCCACCAGTCAAACTAGTGTAACCTGCTGTTTCACTCATTTTCTCTATAAAGCTGAAAGCCCTCCTCCCTCCTGCTCCCTCCTCCTCACCCTCNTTATTATTATTATTATTGTTGTTATCGTTATTCTTATCATTTCTTGTCTCAGTGATAAACTGGACTTTGATGCTCTTTATCAGATCCAGGATCATGTTTCCTCCTCTTCCTCACTGTCTCCCTCCACCAGTCAAACTAGTGTAACCTGCTGTTTCACTCATTTTCTCTATAAAGCTGAAAGCCCTCCTCCCTCCTGCTCCCTCCTCCTCACCCTCTCTACCTCATTCTTCCTCTTCATCCCTCCCTCCCTCCCTCCTTTCATTTCTCCATCTCAGGGAGACTCAGACTTGTTGGTCCCAGGCCAGAGAAACTCTTTTCTCCCTGCAGGCAAAACAATTGGCTCCTTTCTCTCCATCACCTCTCGCTCATTTTCTCCCTCCCTCCCTCCATTGCATTCTCTCTTTCCATGGGACTGTGTGCAGCAAGGCTGCAGGGTTGAAGTGGTGTAACGTCTGAATCTTTCCCCCCAGTTTCTCTCTTCCACATCTTTGTCTTTCTCTTTTCCTTCTTCCTCCTCCACCTTTTTTCTTTCCCTCCTTTCCCAGTTCTCTCTCTTCTACCTTCCTTTTTCTCCTTTTTTCATCCTTCCTTCATTCGCAGGTTCTCTCTCCACCTTTTTCTCTCCTGTGCCTCATTATTTCTTTTCCTCTCCTCTTCTTCTCCTTCTTTACTTATTCCAGTGTCTCTCATTTCCACCCTCTGACTTTTTCATCCCCTTCCTGCCGGTCTTTGTCTCCTCTGTCAGCCCCCCCCCCCCCCCCCCCCNCCCCCCCCAATCTGTGGGGGGGCACAGGTTAAACTGCTGATATTCATTCACTCATTATTGCTGTACTGTAGGAATGCACTCTAACCTCAGTCTGAAAAGCTCGTCTCACCCTAGAGGCGGAGCTCTTTGTCTGCCCGTCTCATTTTAGGGTGGTTTTTGACAGGACAACCCCCCCCCCCCCCCTCACGAAACCCCCCTCGTTTTTTCTTTTNTCCTTTATTTTGAATCCACTCCCTCTTGGCTGCTGCTGCTCTGTGTCTATTGATGCTGAACTGAATGTAAGTGTCAGCAGCTCCAATGGCTTTTTATTAAGATGCATTACGGAGCCGAGAGAGAGAGAGAGAGAGAGAGAGAGAGAGAGAGAGAGAGTTTCTGTTTGTGTGTGTTTGCAGATGTAAGTGTTGAGAAGCACGAGTTTGTTTATATATATGTCTCTGCACGCACAAATATGTGTGTGTGTGTGTCTGTGTACCCACTTAGGCTCTAGGATGACACAAGGATGTGCGAGGAGAAATAATTCTGTCTTGAACTCATGACGACAGATTTTAAAGACACACACACAAACACACACACACACAGAGACACACACACACATACAGAGACACACACACACATACACACAAACAGAAACACACACACACATACACACACACAAACAGAGACACACACACACATACACACAAACACACACACACACACACACACACACACACACACAGACACAAACACACACACACATACACACACACAAGAGACACACACACACACAAACACACACACACACACACACACACACACAAACAGACACACACACAAACAGAGACACAAACACACATACAGAGACACACACACACATACACACAAACAGAAACACACACGTACACACACACACACAAACAGAGACACACACACACATACACACAAACAGAAACACACACACACATACACACACACAAACAGAGACACACACACACATACAGAGACACACACACACATACACACAAACAGAAACACACACACACATACACACACACAAACAGAGACACACACACACATACACACAAACACACACACACACACACACACACAGACACACACACAAACAGAGACACAAACACACATACAGAGACACACACACACATACACACAAACAGAAACACACACATACACACACACACACAAACAGAGACACACACACACATACACACAAACAGAAACACACACACACATACACACACACAAACAGAGACACACACACACATACAGAGACACACACACACATACACACAAACAGAAACACACACACACATACACACACACAAACAGAGACACACACACACATACACACAAACACACACACACACACACAAACAGACACAAACACACACACGTACACACACACACACAAACAGAGACACACCCACACACACACAAACAGACACACACCCACACACACACAAACAGAGACACACACACATACACACAAACAGAGACACACACACACATACACACAAACAGAAACACACACACACATACACACACACAAACAGAGACACACACACACATACAGAGACACACACACACATACACACAAACAGAAACACACACACACATACACACACACAAACAGAGACACACACACACATACACACAAACACACACACACACACACAAACAGACACAAACACACACACGTACACACACACACACAAACAGAGACACACACACACACCCACACACACACAAACAGAGACACACACACATACACACAAACAGAGACACACACACATACACACAAACAGAGACACACACACACATACACAAACAGAGACACACACACAGCTCGGGGAGACTCAGAGGAACAATGGGACTCTCGTTCCTTTTATAGCAGCCGACAGTAGCTTCACTGCTGCTGCTGTCACTCTGTGACTGTGTGAGACTGTCATGTGGATTGTGTGTGTGTGTGTGTGTGTGTGTGTGTGTGTGTGAGAGAGAGTGTGTGTTTGTATGTGTGTCTGTTTGTGTGTCATGGACCTGCAGCTGATGAGAGCACTGACGTCCTTCTTGAAATACTGCAGCGTCTCAGCACAGAACCTTGTGCACACACACACACACACACACACACACACACACACACACACACACACACACACACACTTCACTTGTATGACATTGAAGGGGATGAATGTGAATTTATTAAACCAGGACTTTACAAACGTTACACCACGTCTGTTAAACTGTGGCAGGTTGTGTGTTCTTCTATCATGTGTGCTTTTGTCCATTGTCAGGGGTGTGTGTGTGTGTTTAACCTGTTTAGACAGAAATAATAATGAAGATGTTCCAGGTCAAAATGATGAATAATGAAAACAATCACCATTAACTTCCCTGTTCGGCACCTGATACCTTC